TTTTAAACGCGTACCGAATATCGACGGTATGCTCGGTGTTAAGTAGATGCCGAGCTATTGCATTGTTAAAAGCTTTAATCCCTCGCAGTGTCAAGTTCTTCGGGAATATGCTTTTATTTATAATCATTACTTCGATTGATTTTCAAGAACTGACGTTCACTTTCAAGTACACTGAGTCAAATCACTTCATGTATTGAATATCAAGTTTGAAAAGATTATTGAAAATAAAGCCTTGTAATGGACCATTGTTCAAACGTGTTGTTTATCATAAATTAGTTATAACCGTTTATCTGTCAACCGATCAATTGAACACTTACTTATTCATTATAACATTGTAATCACAATTGATTGATCACTGGGTGGTGATCAATCTCAATCCTGTTGACTACCTCCAACCACCATCTAATCTCATTACATAGTGACCGCAGTGTCGAGTCACCTAGACTGGTGGCCACATTGCAACATGATCGATAGCATTCGTTCTGCACTAATAAGGACTAGACAAGCATGAGATTGATCACCACCCAGTGATCAATCAATTGTGATTACATCTCAGTCCTACAGGAGGTTAGTCACGGCTCGGATAGCTCAGTGGTAACGTCTCTGACTGTGAAGCTGGGTGACACGAGATCGAATCCGCCAGGGAGCACCAGTTCCCTCAAGATTACAGGTACACCTTGCTGACGAGTGCCAAATAGCACGAAACCCGGGTCCAGGGTTTCCTGTCGACTACCTCTAACCACCATCTAATCTCATTATAACATTGTTTCATATCGTTTAATCAGTTATTTTCATTATGTCATACAAATTCCATTAAGAAGTCAAATAGTATTTGTATTGATTCATTTATGACTTCAAAGTAACAATTAAATAAAGGTTTCAATGATTGAAAGTTGATGATTATGTTTCGACTGATGGACAATTATTACTATGACAATATATAGCATAATTGATACTTGAAACAGAAAGATCAATGATTGAATAATAATGAATAGTTTTCAATAGAAATAAGCATTTTCCTACTTAATCAATGTTCCAGTCAATTATAGTATCACATTTTTCTAGAACCTTTGTTAATATTAATCAGAAAATAGGCCTAAATGACAAATGTATAAAACAGGCAAATATGCCAAAACAGTATTTGAAGTACATTAATTAACACAAATAGTAAACACTATACATCATATTTATGAAATCATGTAAGACTGATGATGATGACGATGATGGCGATGGCAAATATGATGGTGATAATATTGTGTTTGTATACTGGATCAAATGTGAATATCTCAGCATGTATTTGTAAAAGTGCATTTTCAATAGTACTGATAACATACCAGTCTGTTTGGATGTTTGAAGGAGCAAAAGCAGTGAAGCAACGTGAACCAAAACCAAACGAACCATATTCATTGAAACTACAGAATTTATTCTTCTGCTTATATACGATGATGAAACGAAGAAGGAAGATGGTGTGAATATTAATTACCATATAAAAGATTAAACAATCTAATTAACATTTAGAAACTATGCAAAATTCATTCAATGAATGAATAAAGTACAGACAAATACACATTGCATACATTCTTTGACCGATATCAGTATCTCTAAAAGAATATTCAACCATCAATTAATCAAGTTCGTCTCATTATGATTCAAGAATAAAGTCTGTGTTTTTTGAAAAAGAGAACAATTGAGATCAGACGACCTTTCAAAAGTAAGAAAAATAAACTGAACAGTGTTGTTTACTGCTAATTAAAAAAGTGAATTTTATCAAAATTAGACAATCTATAAAAGTGATATGCAGATAACTATGTATGTGAAAAATTTATGTATTTCGCCTGATGAACAATGTACGATTATTCGTTTAATTTACAACTTACTTATCTACTCATCCAATAATACTTTTAATTACTTCCTCATACTCGCAAATATAGACTTAGGTCGTTTGCAGCTCATGGAACATGAGCCTCAGATCAGGATTCTTTGAATTGTCCCTTACTAAACTCTCCGTTTCAGTCGTTGTCAAGCGCTATTTATTGTTTTGATTTGTGCCTTAAATTCCTGATAAAAAATCTCCTCATGTATATCATATTTCTAATTCGCAGCTTGACTGGTGACTCAGTTTGATGATTTCCATAATGTGAGTCAAATTAACCTCCTGAGTCCTTTAATAAATTTCTATTCAGCTAGACGTTGGTTTGTTCTCTACCACAGTATGTTGTTGCTGATGGTTAGTGTCCATCGGATCTGAAGTATCTTGTGTAAACAACTGTTCATAAATATTTCTATCTTCTGATGATGGTGATAGTGGTTCAACACGATTTTACTCCGCACAACAGAAATGTCTTGACGTTTGTATTGAAGATTTTGACTTTTGTATTGACGGGAAGTTCTTTCGAGTACGATATTTCTTTCAATTGTAGCGATATTGCTCTTCACAATCCAGTAAACCTCCAGAATAAGGGAGAGTTCCGAAACAAACTAACTGAGAATTACTATTCAGGAACGACTCTGCACTTTAGTCACTCGTAAATTATTTATGTGGTGGAGGTGACGTATCCAGATGCTCCACAGTGTCAGAGTAGTTCCGATAAGGCTCTCTTATCTACACAGTCAAATACTTTCTAGTAGTCAAGGAAGTTGGTGTTTAGTAATAAACTCCATTCAACTGATTGCTCATCGACGATCTATAGTGACGTGAAGGTAATAAAGCTCATCTTTGTAGTTACCTCCATATTTGACTAAACTGCTTCATCTGGTATGTTGTCTATACCTTCTACGTCATACTGATAATCACTGTACAAATACACCGGAACTCGTAACTGATAGTTAAGATGGTGGCAGTTCCTTCAGGATGCACAAAAGAGAATGGAGACTGGTCAATTTTATTATTCAACACTTACAACAAGAAGATATCATTGAAACAACATTTAATTTATGTTAATTGATAAAGCATTGAGATTACTAACTACACTAGTCCAAACTTTAACGATCATTTCTAAGTGATTTCTGTTACCGCAGTATTATTACGATTATTATCTCATTTGGCCTAACATCACTTCAAACTTTACCAATGAACACATGAGATGGTGATAAAGATTTAACGGTTCGAGAGAAATCATGACAGCTTTTTCATGTCGTACTTTGTTCCAAGAATCGAATCACTACATTTCCGATCTACACTTAGAATAAGACTGAATTTCTTATCAATGAATTCGTTATCATTAAATTGGCTTGAATTCATGTCAAGTTATTTCCTTTTGAGATTGATTATAAAGTAACTTTGAATAATTGGGAAGGTGAAAGTACTTGATTCTTTTGAAAATATTCATAAGCATCGTGTATATTCCATACTTTATATGGGTACAATCACTTTTAAACATTAGAAAACTACTATTTTTAAACATTGATCACTTTTCTACTGTTTGATCAATGTTCATGAAATATTTCTTAAATATATATTTATACTACTTTTATGTTGTTAAGTATGTGTTGTTGCTTTAACCAAGATTTATTTTGCAGAACAGATGTTTTCATAACCTGTTCCGATTGATTAGTGAAGAGATACAGACTGAACTGTAACTAATCACTGACTTCTTTAATTTTCAGTATTGTCCACAATACGCATCAACTTATTCTAAATGAAATCAATCAATTGGTCTACTTATTAAGATGATTGTGTACGACGTTGGTACAGGTATTGTTGCCTATCTGATTACTAGAAAACACCAACACGAAAGTCGATTTTTGTCGTTTGACTAGTTCTATGTGAATATATGTGTTTACTTGCCCTTATGAAGCTCACAGAATACTACTTCGGCAACTAACAGTGATCAAAACACAGTTTGTAGTATTGACTATCTGCTAACTAAAACCATAACAACTGGCAATGATATAAGCACTGGACTGATGGAGTGAAATGATGACTTACTGAACTTAGTTGCTCAGTGGATGTTGTGGAGGCTAGATGTTCAGAAATCATTAGTGAATCTCCCATTTTATTAGTTTGGCTGCGTAAGTTCTCGTTTCCTATGTTAATACCATAAACACCCATTATTACATTCATTTTTCTCTTCTAGTGTGATTTTATCGACGTTTTTCAAGGCAACATTTGCATTTCATATATACGTGTGAGTTGATTGCTTGTTCGTTCGTCCGTTCTTATGAACAGCTTGCGGAAGAACTATTTATTCGACCTAATATGGTTTTCCATCTCTAGTAAGTCATACTGTGGTGCAGTGGAATAGCTTGGTTTGTCTCGTAGTTGTATGGCTAACAATTGTTGCATTAGGCAGCACTAATCCCTCGAACATAGCAGCGCATAAAACGTTACTTAATAAAAGGGACCAATACTGTGGTTCAGTTTCAATTTTATGATCGATGCAGGTTGAATGTTTGTTTTATTCTAGTAAATGATTAATAGTGAGAAACTCATAGTGTAATGATACTTGTTAGTTAGTTAGTTAGTTCGTATTTATACATGAACTGCAGTTAGAAAAGATAGTTTCAGAATGTCGAATGAGATAAACAGATTGCAGTTAAGTTTTGGATTTGCAGAAATCATTAGTCATTTCGGCAAATGACTATTATCCAACAATTTTATTCACCATATTCTCCTTACTATTCTCATTTCCACCATCCATGATTTCAATTTTAATTGTGAGTGAATAATGTTGAAATTGAAACACTCGATTTTGTATTGAAGGAAAACTTTTATGACTCGTTATTTTGACAGTAAATAATTCGTTACAAAATGTTGGTAAACAAGAAGAAACTGACTAAAGTTCAGATCATTATTCTCAAATTCAAATTCGTTTACTGTCTATTATCATCTACAATTGAAACATAAAGATATAGAATGATAAACAATATGATAAATCACACAAGTGTATATTCGAAATAAACGAATGGACAGAAGTAAGACGGTTGAGTAGATCTTGGTCAATATGTTTGTATTTATTTCTTCATAACATGATGACGATCTCACTGATGTCATATTTCAGATAATCATCGCGTAGTCGGTCAAGTGTCAACTGGACTCGGGAACATTTATTCAATTCTACACTTCACTAGACTATATCTCAACACAACTATTTGAATAGATATTTCAATTCAACTGGAATCTTGTATTGAATCTAATGAACTCAGCTGTAGTAGTTCGAAACTCTACTTCGCTCACTTTCGTCATTCAAGCACACAATATGTCGTCTTCATACAACACGTTTCCATCAATTATTGTTTCATATAATAATTGTCAGTAAATGTGATCCAATAGGTTACTTACTTATCACTGTTATTGCTTGTAATAGAATTCTATTCTCAACTGAAATTTGAGAAAATCAAACGAATCACAGAATGGTTGAGTGTTATTGATGAGAAGACTAAGAAAATGAATTAGTGATTGTTCTCTGTTAATGTCACATATGATGTTTGTATGGACAATTGTCCGATAGGTTGTTATCGTTCAACATTTTATGGATAACCATCGTTCAGTAAATTGCATATGGACCTTAGAGAGTTCCTTAATTAACCAATCAATCAAATTATTCAAATGGGTTTTCTTACAGAGTTCCACATACAGATTTTCAACACCACGGTATTTCTGACGAACAAAATGATCTATTCTTATTATAGCTGAAATACAAAATAACTTTGGTTAGGGAAACTTCCATACAAATTGTTTATTTGAAGTCATATTTCAATGTATCCTCATGGTCGAAATAATGAGAAATATTGTATATAAAAATGTGATGGGCGGCTGAGGAAGAATACCAGATGGTCACATTGACCTCCTTATCATTTCCACATATTCTCACCCACTTGACAATGTTATTGTGAATATTTAATGCATGGGATCAAAATAGATATTTCACCTTCGATTCCTTTGTCTAGGTTTGTACTGTAGCATGATATACATCTTTGCATTGCCGAGGCAATAGCCATACATTTTGAAAAACCAGAATTATGTGTACAAAAGAGACTGGTACAACCTCTTCTTTTACCATGGTCTTAATGTATTAAAATTTTTTCTCTTTCTCATTACTCTTGTTCTTTTACAGCCAACTGCTTCACCTTCCATCTTCCCTTCAAATCTTGTACCCCCAACCGGTTTGTTTTTATTTCCACGGTCGTTCCGATTACATTTCATCTCTGTTTCAACATTTTGTGTTATTTTATCATGCTGAGCTACCCTTACCCGATGAATATCTAAGCCATTAACTATCAAACTTTCCTTGTTTTAAAAAATTTTTTTCTAATACCATTGTTTATTTAACCTCACTGTCACCATGTATAACAGAAGTTTATTATCAGTATTATTATCACCCTGTAAAAATAAGTATATATATATTTGCGATTGTACAGCTTTGAAAATGAATTCGCCGAAAAGGGGAGAACTCTTCGCTGAACTAATCATTCTTTCTTATTTAATGATATACATCCCTCATGAGTATTACGCCCGTTATTATTGGTTTCGCGTTCCAATGATACCGGAGGTGATAAAACTGTTGCCTCATTTTCATACCTCATTAGTTTAACTAAGTCACAAACAGGACATAGACAGTTCTGTGATTTTAGGTTTGAGGAAGCACCAGTTCAGTGTAGTGAAAAAAAAACACAATTACACAATCTAGACGACAGGTTTGTAGATAAATAAAACGTTTTTGTGAGTATGAATTTCGGTAAGGAATGTCAGGTTATGTCTACCATATTCTTTAATATCAAGAGAGATCATTTAAATAAAATTACCTCTCGTTCTATCTGATATCAGCCCAATACAATCCGTCAAACTGTATTCAGACTTCATTACTAATTGGTTGATAATTAATAAACAAAAAAAAACAGTAAAAGACTATTCACTTCACTAGTTTTATATATTCAGTCTGACAGACTGTTTTATTCTTAACTGAAACCATGTTGATCTGGACGAAAATAATTGTGTTCAGAGATTTATGGTGGCTAACAGAAGAACAAAACACTTACCGATTGAACAGCCCTACATGTTAGGTTTAATTTTCAATTCGAGATTCTGCTAACCATCATCTCTGGTTAAGACACTTGTGACAATATCGAGGCAATCCGTGCAAGATGAACGTATACCAAAAGAGACTGATCGATCGTAGTCCTAGAAATCGATGGAACATTCAAATAACCAATACACATAAACTAAATAAACTCTATGTTTGAATGTCACCACGCAAACTCTCAATGTAAATTTTAGATATCCCACCACACCTGCAGCTACTATATATATCAACGTGATGTATCTGTGTTGCATAGAACTTACAGACAATTCGAAAAACACTAAATAACGGATGACGATGATGATGATGACACTTAAATGATTGAACATGGTCAAGATTTTCACATAGTCACAGCTTAACCATCGATGTTAACCAATCACTAAGTCTTGCAATACAGCAATTAGCAACGTTGATAAGGAAATAAAATGTATGCAGTAGCGGTTGGAATGATTATAAGTAGTGTTAATTTTGTTTCATTATAATCACATAAACGACGTTTATACAGCAATAACGCCTTGATACTTATCACGAAAACACTACTTGTTGTGAACTAGACGAATAGCCTGATATATTTGACAGACTCAAGTGAGGTTGTGAATGAATTGTCACAATACCATGTTAATAATTACTGACCAGCAGTCATTTGTACCATGTTTCTGTCCGTAACGTAGCAAACATCCGTAGTTCTTATTATTGAGCAAACAACATGGATTAATTCTCATGAAATTGTAAGAAGTGATCAAACATTTGGGATGGATAGGAATGAACTGCATGTAATTCAATATTTTGACTTGCTTTCATCATATTTAACACTTTTCTTAAAGCTTGCTTCCAGTTTCGATGGGCTCAAGTAAGCAAACGCTGTATGGAATGAAAGATATTCAATAGATATCAAACTATAACGTGGTAAGCAAGTAAGTACAACATTTGGATGGATAATAGAAAGGGTTTGAGATTTCCCGTGGACAGTATTCAGTAGTGAATTTGATGAGCCACTGTTACAACATGAGCTTTTTGAGAGTGGTGTGTGGAAATTAGATTTGAAATACGTAGAAACTAGGACTGTCATTTCCTTCAGCTCTAGATCAATCAGATGAACGCACATTCTCCCAGTGTTGATGTTTTCAATGAAACTTAAACAGAGTTCCTTTCAAAGTGTTGGCTGGATGTGAGGATTTCCGAATCCTGGTATCAGAGTGAACATTCACTTTGAGATCAACATGTATCCATCCGACTGATCCCAAGTCGGATAAAATGAGGGTCTTGAATTTACTTGGTAGACAAATAATAAATACCAGTGTGGGGTTGTGGAGACTGTTAAGATTTTGATTAAGAACATGAATCGATGATGTTGGACCATTAATACTAAATGTATTAAAATTAAATGCACAGCATCATTCGTTTCGAAGAACTTCCGAATTTATACGAGACGGTATTTCATATTTGTGTCTTCACTTCAAAGTAATAAGCGAAACAGTCGTTAAATTATTTCAATGTGCTCCGAATGCTGAATACTATTCAGTTATTAAAATTACTTACGATAGCGTCTGTTGTAATCATTCTGTATAAGCAGGATACCTATAGAAACCATCAAAAGTACATTGCAAATTAACTTGGTTTCAATGTGGATGTTTATGAGCAAGTTATATGTGATGTGGTGATAAGTGAATGATGTTGGATGGTTGAGTGAATATGTTGCAAATTGATTGGACATGGAAATATGAAACGATGGTGGAGGTTTTGAAATTGTTCCGAGTACTCACTCGACATGATGTGATAATTTCAATAAACCAATCGATAGCGTTTTGTTGGTCTAAAAATTTTGCCCTCATGAAGATGTCTGGATGGTCATGATTTGGTGTTTATCGTTGTTGATAGTGCACAATACCTTGAGTCGAGTGTGCATTATTCTTTGACTTGTGTTAAAGAACGGGAGATTTCAATCACTAAAGAATGACATGTGTTCTTAACTTTTTAACAAATGATTACTTGTGTAGTATGTTCGCTCACAGAAACAGATTAAAACTATCCCTAGCATACCAGTTGTGATGCAATATTACACTCACATTCCATCCAATTCAACGGATTATTTATGGTATGTAAGAGACTTTCTGATTCATAGACAACTGGAAATATTACGACCACATATCATGGTTGAACATGAGATCGATTTGTGATCAGTGGTTTCGAAAAGTCAACATGGAAATCATAAATAATGAAATGCTGAACTGGAATTAAACCATGTAATAAGAATCAGTTTTCTTACGAGTTAAAGCACCAGTCACTGCATCACGGTTCCAATAGTTGCTCATACATATGATATCTAAAATCATTATGGTAATTATTGACTTCTATTATTTTACCACATACACTTATCGATTTTAAGCATTCTACTTGAAGGAAACTTTTTGACTACATCTGAAATGAACATGATAACGTAGAGCAACTCAGTTGAGGAACAAGCTGATGTAATTTACATTTCAAAAATAGTATTATGTTGTGTTTGAAGTAGTTATGATTTGATCTAACAGAATCCCGCGAGCGGGATCGTGAATGCGCACTGCTGAGGTGACGAAACGGCCGTCCAGTGCTTCCATGTTTCCAAAGGTGGTCTAACATCAATCGGTTCATGATCTCAATCAGAAATGAGATGAATGAGGTAGGTTTGATGTTACAAGATCAGTCATATATTCTACTAGTCGTAATAAAGGACAATACTGACAAGCTGGATCATTAGTTTCCATTCATTAGATCTGAGGAATTAGGACATCAACAACATCTGAAATTTCACCAAAACGTACAGATATCATTATTGTGTCATTGAGATTTTCTATCCCTAATTAACCATATTGGTGTTTGTTACAAAGACAGTTGGTAGGTCTCAACCACCACTTTTATGATCACTCAAATATGTGGACTAATTTCATATCTTAGATTTCCATGAATTGAATAATCATGTTGGCTAACCGAGTGCACTTACTCACTCCCATCAAATGTTCACAGCCTACCACGAATGGAACCGCTGTAAAATTCGAGAAATACCATCAAGAAGGTTCAAATACACAATGCATATTTTAACTAGGTTATTCTCTCTATAGCTTGAATAGTGTTAATGATAGAATGAGTGTGCAAACAGAGAGACAATTAAATTTCACACAGAGAGACTGAATGTGACTTTCACATTAATCACACTTATCACTGTTTAACGTTGTATTGGTTGCATTGTTCAAACAACTGGAAATACTGAACACGAATATACACTTGTTGTGTGTAGTTTGTTTTGACTTTCAATTCAATAGTGTAAATGAGTATGACATATAAGACTGAATAATCAAATTACCTCTCACAGTTTTTATTCTTTTGTCAGAATCTTTGATAGACATTTTAATATTTTCCATCTTTTCTAGAGATTACATATACACACACAAATGACAAAGAGTTTTATCATGAAGATTGTTATTGGACAATCATATAGTTTACTTGTTAAAGCATCTATGAGTAACATTGAATATATTAGAGTGATTACATTACAGAACATCATGCACACATCAGCAAATAAATAAAGAGCTGATATGATTTCAAGAACACTATTATATATGTACTAAATTCAAGTCCTTGGACACAAACAACTGGATCGAATGCTTCTTCATCTAAATAGTACGTAACAACATGCATTGTATGAGCACATTTGATTGTATGAGATACATTGTCTGCAAAATTTAAAACAACCGTTACTTGCCTTTCAATGCAATAACCTTTCCTTTGAAATCCTCAAGATGCTTCGATTTGAAATCTAAAAGAGACAAGATTTGACACAACAATAAGTACTACAGATGATTATTGAAAATGAACTTTCACATTCAAGTGTATTGATTCAGATAACTTCAGATATGTTTACGTCAATAGTTCAGACATTACTCAATATGGACCATGATCGAAACAATTAGATCATCATTCATAAGTTATAACTGTTTGTCGATCAACGAAAGAACTAACCGCCTACTTATTCATTGTAACATTATGTTCAAAAGAATCAGATATTTCTACTGAATCAATGTTCCTATCAGTTTCTGTCAACCGGTTGAATTCATAAAATGAATTCATCACACAGTATACTTTTGTCTAAAACCTATTTTATAACTATTCGGGAAATAGGCATAAACGACAAATTTATAAAACAGACAAACCTTCTCAAACAATACTGGAAGCATAACAAGATTTAAGATATGACTTAGACTGATAACAACGATGATGATGATAATGACAAAAATGACATTGTTATGATTCTGTTTATATACCAGATCGGACATTAATATCTTAGCATGTATATGTAAAGGTTTATTTCAAGTAATACTGATAACTTACCAGTCTGTATGGATGTATGAAG